GTAATCTCTCTCTCTCTCTCTCTCTCTCTGTTTTTAAGTTTCTATTGTTACTATTAAATAGGTTTATTATCTAAATAAGTTTATATAATAAACCTATTTTATAGTTACTATTAGTTGCTATATTATTATTTTGTTTTTTAAATTTTATTTATTTTATTGTAATTTATTTTCTAAACATAAAAGATTATACTTATTATTATTATTTATTTATTTTTTTATATATTTAGGTCCATTGGCGGGTATTTTAAACCATTTCTTCTCTGTGAGAATTATCGTATCTTTTGGGATATTGTTTGGAACAATCTGCATTTCTGTTTGTTATTTTGCTGCAGATGTATTTCAGATAACTATTTTATTTGGATTAGGATTTGGTAAATAAAATTTTTATTAACATTTACATAATTTTCTAGAATAAATCAATAGATTGTCTTGTAACTTGTATTCTGGCACTATAACAAATTCGAATATGATGCAATGAGATGCATCTCATTATATAGTATAATCATCATTAATTTGTTTTCATACAATATTAAAAATTATAACTTTTTCCAGGTATATCAATTGGATTAACATGCACTCTTGTTCCTATTCTTATCAACCAATATTTTAATCGTCAACGAGCCACAGCATGTGGAATATGCTATAGCGGGTCTACAGTTGGAGCTTTTCTCTTCCCCATTATAGTGAATGTAATATTAGAAGAATATGCTCTTAGAGGAACATTTTTACTTCTTGGGGGCTTAGTATTACATGGACTTTGGGGTTCTATGCTACTCCATCCTATAGAAATGCATAAAAAATCAAGAGGTGTGGAGTTAGAAATGGATTGTAAAAACATAGAGGTAGAAAAATATACCAATATAGGATCGATTCGTAGAAGGGATTTAATAGATCAGGAAAACGCCGATAATGATGAAAACACTGTAAGAAGAAACAGTATAGCACTTAGTGAACATATCGTACCGATAAATGAAGATATCAGACATTCAGAGTCTGAAGAGAGTATAAAATCGAATTCCTGTAACAAATCTCTGATTGAAAATTTAAAAACAAATGCGAAAATTTTTATGAATATTTCATATTTACTCACGACATTATCATATATATCATCTCACAACGTATTCGTGATTATCACAATCATTCTTCCTTCTTATGCAATGACAAAAAATATCGATAAAGAAAATGCCATATTTCTTCTGTCTGTTTACTCTATATCGGATCTCATTGGTCGCATGATGCCAGGATGGTTATCTTACAGAAAAATATTAAGCAACAGAACGAACATGATTATCCAATTATGGTTAATTGGTTCTCTTCTAATTATTGCTCATATAGTCAATGGTTATGAAGGCTTTATCGCTCTCACATTGGCATTTGGTTTTACTGGTGGAAACTTAATGGTTTTATCTCCTGTATTAGTTACGGAATATACTGGTATAGAAAGAGCAGCTATTGCTTTTGGATTTTCAAATTTTTTCAATGGAATGTTTTCATTAATAAGACCAAATATGATTGGTAAGTATGATCACAGTTAATGGTATCACTTTAAAGTAGTATTTTCTAATTAGTGAAGCATTGTTTCAGGATATTCTAAATATATATAAAAGAAAATAATATCTTATTTAAAACAAATTATAATAATGCAATTTATATTTTCAGGTTATATTAAAGATACGACGGGTACTTACGATTTAGTCTTCATTGCAATAGGAATTTTAAACTTGATTGCTGCATCTTTATGGACGATACTTTTAATAGTCAGACAGTTATCTGGTTATAAATGTTGTGGAACTAAAGATAGATATTACACAATAAAAACATGACGCATTATTCGTACTTAAAATATTTTCTTAAAACCTGTTTTATATAAAGAATTACGAATGCATCCTAATCTAATATTTATAGACGACCTTGATTGGTATGCAAAACTTATTACTAAAAATGGATGAAACTACTTTAAGAATTTTCATAATTGATTTTTTAACTTATTTTTATGTATTTTCGTGTATGTAAAATTTTAAAAAATGTAATTAAGTTTAATAAAAAAAAAAACTTAATTATTTTTGCAGTTTCTTTATGTCATTAACGCAAATAATTTTAATTGTTTTCTTTTTCTAATTTTAATTTTGGAAATTATTCAAACAAAAGTGAATATTCAATAATATCAATTTCATAAGCATGTGAATTAAAGTTTAAATTGATACTTGAAGAAGTCATCACCAAGGTTTGTGTTAAGATTGTAGTGTTTTAACTCGTAAAAATGGAAACGACAATCGTCAATTTTTCAGCAAATTTACCTCTATCGTTTTCTGAGTTATATTTTTGTGTTAAGTGAACCTTATCGGGTGTGGTCAGATAAGCGGAACAGGAAGCAAAACCGCTAAAGTAGGTCACAAAACTTGCTGTATGTTTCCAATGAGATACTTTCACTCGTACAAATCCTTTTTTTAAAGTAAGGACACGATATTAATTAATTGTCGACATTCATTAATTTTCTATTTTTATCGATCAAGTATCGAACTTCTAGAATTTTGTATAACTTCGATTAAATTAAAATGACGTTAATTTTCTATGAAAGGCGAAGAGATAAATCTATAATCGTTCTCTAATCAGATCAATATCAAACTATCAATATTATAATAGAATACATATGTAAAAAGTAAATTAAAAAGATAATAAATTGAAAATATCTGATCAAATTGGCTTGGTGAGTGTAATAATAATGAATTTTGTTATACAATTTTAATCATTTATCTGTATCTATTGATTAAAATCTACATTAAATGTAGATTAATTTATTGTAAATCTATTAGTCATATATTTTTTTAATATATATTATCACTTTTAATTTCATTTAAATTACGATACTTTCACTGCTTTAATTAACAGCGAAAATAATTTTTTACACATAAAAATTTAACATTTCTTCTGTATTAAGATTAAGTAACTTTAATACTAATAAACTAGAAGAAATAACAAATTAAAATAATAAATATCTAGAATATTATATTATTAAATCTAATCTTTAACTAATATTCTTAAAAAATTAATAGAATAATTAATTCTATTAATTATAAAATAGTTGTCTAGAGTATCCGAGCGTATCAAGTTTGCTTATAGTACCTTTTTAAATAAGTATTTTAAAAAATTAACTATAGAAAATTCAGTATCTTCTATTTTAAAAAAATGTAACAAAGTTTTCATTACAAATAATAAATAATACATTAATTTTAAAATATATTTTAACGCTTGAATGATTATATAAATGATAAATTACCATAGAAAGAACTTAATTAAGTTTGAGTTTCTCATCTTATTTAAGTGAGAAAAAAAGTATATAAAAAGTAATAAGTAAGAAAGAAAGTGTTTATAAAGGCTCCATTAACTGAACTGGTCATATCAATTGATCTTAATCATTATCATCGTCTTCACTTTAAACGTTGAAACTTGTCTTTCCCTTAACCGGAAATATAAAAAAATCATATCGTTTACACAGCTTTAATTTTAGTTAAAGATATAGAAAATATTATTTTACGTTAACAAATTTGATAAATACGGTAACATATAACAACAATAAAGGAATGATTATCATTCATTAACAATATAATTTTCATTTATCTACCGTTTATTCTGCTTGTTTTTTAATTTCTAACCTGTCAAATTTTATGATCGATAAGTTTTTAAATAGAAAGTAAAATAATATAAAGAAAGTTCTATTGTTATCACTTAGGTAAAGGAGATAAGTTTAAAAATTGCATCCAATCTTGATAGAATTGTCTATTGTTTCAAAGGCGCATTAAATGAGATTTTAAAAAGTAAAAATATATTATGCTTTAAAATGCTTAAAACCGCCGACGATGAGAGTTTAAAACACGATACATGTCAGATAGAATCATATACCACACACACACACGTTAAAAAATAAAAATAAAAAAAAATAAAGGCAAGATCGTAACGACCTCGCCCTATAACGGAACGTCGCTTAGACAAGAATCAACAACAACAATCACTTATTACTCGGTTGAGTCCATCTTCCATGTGGGTCAGGAGACAAACCAGCCTGGAAAATCAAGAAGAACAAGATCAACAAGTTTAGTAGTGGCAAGAACCAGTAGACGGCGTATACACAGCTGCTCCCTCCCATAGTTCATTTTCCAGCCGCCTCGGGCGCTGCAATCGACGAAGCGAGGTCATGCCCCCTTCTCCCCGGGCTAACTCCGAAAGGACAGCAATGCCTTGCTGCGATTTAGATGCGGATGGGGTAGAAACAGAAACGGCTATGTTGACGGCACTTTTCGATCCCACAGAATGGCCTCCTCTTTTAAATCTTATGGATAACGCTACCTCTGCAGCAGCAACCATGTCTGGTAAGTCGTTCTAACCTAGATAGAACTTAGTTGTTGCGACCTGTTCTGCAGGATTTACCTCTACATGACAGTTGGTAACGTTGAACAAAACATAAAATTTAATCTTTAAAAACTCTAAAATTTAACCGTCTACTTATGTTTTCGTCGTTTCTATAAGAAGTTTACGAATCTGGGAGATGATAACGATAATTTTCCCATCACAGGTTTTACGGTTTTTAACTTTTCTTTGTTGTCAAAACTGTACAGCCCGAGCACTTGTTTGAAAATATGAACGAGTTGTGTACGTCTATACTTTTGGTAGAAGGTATTTTATCCTACAAAAATTATATATATATTATTTTTTAAGTTTAAAAGTTTTAATTTTATCACTTTTAAAATACTTTTATATATTATATAAAATTATAAATTAATGTNATTGTGATGAAACTGGTTTATTTTGGAAGTCATGCCAAACTGTACCTACATTATGAAAGAAGAGAAAAATATTCCTGGGCATAAACCCATGAAAGACCGATTGACGTTACTTTTGAGAGCTAATGATAGCAGTGATGTGAATCTTATCCTGTTTCTTGTCTATCACTCTGAGGAACCTAGAGCATTAAAAAAAATTCCATAATTAAAGAAAAACTGCCAGTGATGTGGAGATTGAATAAAAGGGCGTGGGTCATGCAGTAATATTTTTTTTTATTTTATATATTTTTCTTACATTTTATTTGTATCACTTACATTAAAATAAATGAAATATATTTGTATAAAAATTAGTATTAATTTTTAATCAATTTAATATATTAATTTTCTTGTGTAATATTTTTTATTTAGAAATTCCTGAAGGTTTGTCGAAAATTGAACAGAGGAGAAAGAGGACAAACGACTCGGAAACTAATGAAATTCATCATAAGAGAACACGTTTAACATCCAACGATAAACAAACATCCGAAGACGAAATGGAATCATCTGAAGATGACGATGATGATGATAATCAATGGGAGAGAAGAAATTTAGAGGAGAAGAGAAACATTCTTAGGATTTCTGTTTACAAGATGAGAGTTATTGAAGACCCCGAAATTTTCCTAAGACGTTCTGTTCTTATTCATAATACAATACGTCGCCTGCAAGTGGATATGGATCAAGATCATTTTATAGAATCCACTCAAAACTTTGTAGCTAAGGAGATCGAAGTTAAAACCGAAGGATCTATCGAAGGAGAAAATAACTGTCTCATAGGCTTTATGGGATATCAAGATCATCCTCGAGAAGAACTAGATCAAGATAATACCAAAGAATTTTCGAATGACATGGCAGATTATACTGACGACGATTCAGATGAAGATGAAGAAGAGGAAGAAGAACTGTGTAGTACCAAAGATTATCACGACGATAGATTAAGTCCTAAAGAACCGACAGGAGACGTAGAAGAAAGGTTAACAACTGGTTGCTTATGTTATTCAGATAGTTGGTGTAGGCAAGATTGTAATAGAGACTGTTCGGGTACTAGGAGAGAAAGCAATCAATGTGCTACCGAATATAGAACTGTAAGAAATAATAATCAAGGGGAAAGTGTCTTCGATTCTGTAGTGTATCAAAGTCTGTTGGTGTCGCTGGAATCTTGAAAGAAGCTTGTTATCCTTCTTACATTTTCGATAACATGAATAATAATACTGTGCGTGACCTACTTAAAGTTCTTCGAGTCGTTTCTTTTTTATCCTCGTTGTCTTCGCCGAAAGTGGAACGTACATGCCTTGCAGACAAGAGAGAGGGCCTTCACCTCTCTACCTGAAGCAGTTGTAATTACCTGTCTTCGAATAACAGTTGTACTTAATCGTCGCTGCCGGAGGCGAATGTTTTAGGGTTTTGTTTGTTTATTTTGATATCATTTTTGTCCACAAGTAACGGATTATTTCCACTTTCCTTCTTTGTGCCAAATGGGGATTGTCCATTTCGTTCTGGTCTTCTCGCGTGCTCTCTAAAGTCCAAACTATTTCCATTTGATTCTTTTTCTTACTTAGACATACAGATAATATAATTCTATTAAGTCGGTAGAAAGAAATATCGAAAGACAATGTTTCATTAGTAAGAGCAGCGATTCATCTCAGTGAACACGCTGCAATACTTAATTACTGAGATACCTAAAAAAAAATGCCCATTTTTCTTCCCTTCTGATTATTAAATTTAATAAGTAATTTATTTCGGAATGTCATATATAATGCATTCACTCAATAGATTTATTGTTATATAAATATACAAGACTAATAATAAATCATTTTTTCCTGCTACAAATATTTACAATAGAGAATCGAAATGGATAATAATCCATAATTGATCTGTTACGTAAAATTTCGCTTGGTCGCTGGTATAAAAAAATATATATATAATAAATAAAAAAAAAAAAGCTTAATGTTCAGTATGCAATTTGCATCGTCATATCTTTTTTTACTGTTTTTAGCATCGTTTTAGATGCGTTATTTCTTTTTTTTTCATATCGTATATGCATGCATGTTTTCAGAATTCGAATATTTTTTTTTAAACGTTCGAATTAAATCATTCATCATTGCAAGTTTAATTAACAAAATTTGATTAATACTTCGTCGTGTTCGAATTAGCAATCGTATGTATGTATCTATTCTATACAGTAGGGGTGGAGATGACCTAGTCCTTGAACTTGCACCCAAAGCTGTAGAGATGTGGGGCCGTGATTCACGACCCCAACCACTCCTCTGGTCCTGCAGAAGGCGGCGATTGAGGTCGAGAAATTTTTCCCTCTAAAAAATACAATCTATGTTTCTTCTAAACTTTTTTTCTATGAGGTTAAATGTTTTTTTTTTTTTTTTTTTTTTTTAACTNATCAATTGGATTAACATGCACTCTTGTTCCTATTCTTATCAACCAATATTTTAATCGTCAACGAGCCACAGCATGTGGAATATGCTATAGCGGGTCTACAGTTGGAGCTTTTCTCTTCCCCATTATAGTGAATGTAATATTAGAAGAATATGCTCTTAGAGGAACATTTTTACTTCTTGGGGGCTTAGTATTACATGGACTTTGGGGTTCTATGCTACTCCATCCTATAGAAATGCATAAAAAATCAAGAGGTGTGGAGTTAGAAATGGATTGTAAAAACATAGAGGTAGAAAAATATACCAATATAGGATCGATTCGTAGAAGGGATTTAATAGATCAGGAAAACGCCGATAATGATGAAAACACTGTAAGAAGAAACAGTATAGCACTTAGTGAACATATCGTACCGATAAATGAAGATATCAGACATTCAGAGTCTGAAGAGAGTATAAAATCGAATTCCTGTAACAAATCTCTGATTGAAAATTTAAAAACAAATGCGAAAATTTTTATGAATATTTCATATTTACTCACGACATTATCATATATATCATCTCACAACGTATTCGTGATTATCACAATCATTCTTCCTTCTTATGCAATGACAAAAAATATCGATAAAGAAAATGCCATATTTCTTCTGTCTGTTTACTCTATATCGGATCTCATTGGTCGCATGATGCCAGGATGGTTATCTTACAGAAAAATATTAAGCAACAGAACGAACATGATTATCCAATTATGGTTAATTGGTTCTCTTCTAATTATTGCTCATATAGTCAATGGTTATGAAGGCTTTATCGCTCTCACATTGGCATTTGGTTTTACTGGTGGAAACTTAATGGTTTTATCTCCTGTATTAGTTACGGAATATACTGGTATAGAAAGAGCAGCTATTGCTTTTGGATTTTCAAATTTTTTCAATGGAATGTTTTCATTAATAAGACCAAATATGATTGGTAAGTATGATCACAGTTAATGGTATCACTTTAAAGTAGTATTTTCTAATTAGTGAAGCATTGTTTCAGGATATTCTAAATATATATAAAAGAAAATAATATCTTATTTAAAACAAATTATAATAATGCAATTTATATTTTCAGGTTATATTAAAGATACGACGGGTACTTACGATTTAGTCTTCATTGCAATAGGAATTTTAAACTTGATTGCTGCATCTTTATGGACGATACTTTTAATAGTCAGACAGTTATCTGGTTATAAATGTTGTGGAACTAAAGATAGATATTACACAATAAAAACATGACGCATTATTCGTACTTAAAATATTTTCTTAAAACCTGTTTTATATAAAGAATTACGAATGCATCCTAATCTAATATTTATAGACGACCTTGATTGGTATGCAAAACTTATTACTAAAAATGGATGAAACTACTTTAAGAATTTTCATAATTGATTTTTTAACTTATTTTTATGTATTTTCGTGTATGTAAAATTTTAAAAAATGTAATTAAGTTTAATAAAAAAAATTATTTTAAGTAGGAAAATTTTTGAGAATCTTAAATTTTATTTATTTTTTTTAAATTGACTTCCTGGATAATAAAGCGCCCCTAGTGGAGAGATACGCGGAACTACTGACGTCACTACACGTGCGACGGCGCGGAATAAGTCGACAGCTGACTAGTGAAAGAGGTTATTGACTTTTATATGTGGAGTTCATCAGCATCTTGAACATCCTCCTTTCCTTTGCTTTTTCATATTTGCAATAATATAAGTTACCCGAATTTTCGAAATTTTACTTAATTTTTTTTTTTTTATAATTTAATATTGAAATTATTTGAAATCTTCAACTACAGTGTGTCATAGATAATTTAATGAGATTATATTCATCCACATACGTTTGGTTTATGGTTAATAGGAGAGAGTTTTTTGTATTGAAAATCATATAATAGAAAAATATGCCTTAAAAATTTGATTAACAGATTTTGTATTGTATTATGGTCAAAATTGGATTGTTCTCATTGAAATTATTTCATCATCTCTACACAATTTCATCACTGTATTCATATTTGTGCAGATAAAAAAAAATATATATATATTAATTACATATATCTATTATGTATATCTGATAATTCTAATTTAAGCTTCAAAAAATAGAAAGCAATAATAAAATTCCTACATTGTATCATGTTAGTTTTATTTATAAATTAAACTTCCCTAACAGGAATATGAAATAAGTAAATTAATCTGGACAATATAATAAAAGACTAAAAACTTTAAATGTTAAACCAACGAGATGTTTTGTACATCTTTTATAGGGGGAAATCTGTTTACTTAAGGAAGTTTATCATTTTTTAAAATAAATTTTTTCAATAAAAGTAATATCATGAAAATGAAAAAAAAATTATAAATATATACATATATAATGTTAGAATTTTAAATTATATTAGAAAGCTGTTTTGTTTATTTTTAAAGAGTTTACAATGATCTATAATTATGGTAGTTGCAATCTAATGTGAATACGGCTCTATTGAAATTTTTTTCATTTTTAATCTTGTAACAATCGAAATACTAAAAATAATTATAAAATGCTGAAGAAAAGTAAAACTGTTTTTGTCTTTTTCAAATTTTAAATATCTGATCAGCATATAATAATATATTTTTAGAAATCCAATTAAAATTTTAACTACTTTTCAATTAAAATTATAAAATTTTGAAATATAGAAAATAATCTACATAATTGTTAAATACTAAATAAAACTATATTATTGCAGTGTATAACATTTATATTAGCACATACAGCAAAATTAAAAACTTAATCAAAATACAGAAATGATAAAATTATTTATTTCAAAGAGTGNTAATATCATGAAAATGAAAAAAAAATTATAAATATATACATATATAATGTTAGAATTTTAAATTATATTAGAAAGCTGTTTTGTTTATTTTTAAACAGTTCACAATGATCTATAATTATGGTAGTTGCAATCTAATGTGAATACGGCTCTATTGAAATTTTTTTCATTTTTAATCTTGTAACAATCGAAATACTAAAAATAATTATAAAATGCTGAAGAAAAGTAAAACTGTTTTTGTCTTTTTCAAATTTTAAATATCTGATCAACATATAATAATATATTTTTAGAAATCCAATTAAAATTTTAACTACTTTTCAATTAAAATTATAAAATTATGAAATATAGAAAATAATCTACATAATTGTTAAATACTAAATAAAACTATATTATTGCAGTGTATAATATTTATATTAGCACATACAGAAAAATTAAAAACTTAATCAAAATACAGAAATGATAAAATTTATTTATTTCAAAGAGTGAAATAAAAAGTTTTCAAAATGAAAATGTTAACATTTTATTGCAAACCAATTTAAAAATAATAATCTTGATAAAAGATAATACCTCACTCCTCATATTTTGTACTATTGTTAATTTAAGTAAATATCTTGCTTTTCATCAAAAGAAAATATATTTTATTTTTCAGAAAGTTTTTTTTTTTTTTGTATCCTTTTCCTGTAACAGTTTACAACCTTAACTTATTTCAATTTGTAAAATCTTTAATACTGTTTTAAAATTTATTCATCATTCATTATATTAATGAACTTTGATGAAATACCTTAAAAGGTATTTTAAATATCAGTTTTTATTTGATATAATTGCTGACTTTTACCTTTTAAATTTTTTAACATTTATCAATATATTATGTTTAGATTTTGACACTCATGTTTTAAACAATATTTAATGATGATAAATGGTATAAGTCAACAATGCATGTTAAATGTATTGGTAACTTGTTGCTAATAATTTGCTCTGTATATGCCTTTTTCAGCATTATGAAAGTAACTTAGTGGATCAAAAAGCTTATAGGTTAAAATAAAATTATAAAAATAAATAAGTTATTAGAGTCTTTTTGCTAAGTTAATACTGTATTATTTTTTAAATTTTTAACTAATTAAAACATTGTTTTTAATTAGGTTTATTTAACAAAATAATTCTACGTATATCAATATTAAGTAATACTAATCTTCACAAATAAAGAAATAAAATATTTGAAGAAAATTTAATATAGTCACTAAAAAATAAATGAGTTTACATTATATAATTAATGTAAAATAATATCTGATATGAAAAGAAGGCATTTTTTAAAATAGTGATTTTGAAGTTTGACTTTTCAGCTTGAATTGTAGTTGAGGAATTATAATGTGGAAATTATGGGTATGTTACTGACGGGTCAATACAAGGATGGGCAAGTTGGGCGGCTGCCTAGGGAGGCAGATTGCTAGGGGTGGCAAAATTGGCCAAAGAAAATAAAAATAATAAAACATTCTTAATTTCAGATAATCTATTATTTTACTTTTCGAAAATAATTAAGTAATTAAATGTGTGAGGTCTGAGCCCTCAGATCTTTTGGTTAAAATTACAGTATGCCTATATTTAAGAGGAGTGGCAAATAACTATTTGCCCAGGACGGCATAATTGCTAGGTTGGCCCCTGGTTATTGATACATTTTATGAAATAATTAACATGAACAATCAGAAATTTTTGGGTTGATTGAAGTCCAGTTTAGATAGATAATATGAATCATTTCTTGAAGCAGTTTTAAGCATAATACAGATTTCAACAAATAAATATATTATACTAAAGATTTAATTGAAAAAAATAATCACATTATAATTACAACTTGATTTCATTCAGTTGTAGAGATAGTTAACAAATCAATTGTTTTCTGATATGAATAACAAAAGAAACATTAATATCTTCTGTAATATATAATAGCCTTTACAAACAGAACTGCATAGGATTTGTGTGAATTGATTCAATTTCACCCTAAATGAAACACTTCTAGATTTTATGTATGATCTTCAGCAAATCAAGATGAATCTTTTGACCGCAAACAGAGAGAAAGGAGAATATAAAGTGATATGCATCCCTTTTATCAGATATGCAAAGTGCATTTTCTACTACATACATACATACAAGAAAGACATCGGCCATACATAAAGTGTTTAGATGGCAAAAAAGAGGATAAGGGAAAGGGGGAAAGAAGGAGGGAGAGGAGATAGACAGCAGAGAAAGGTAGGATTCCTCTGAATGGCATACATATGGCTACAGTACCCTCTATGTTTGATGTTGGCATGCAGTTTTTATGCTGCAAGGCCATTTTCTACCACAGCATGCAAAGATCATTTTATGTAGAAGTCTATATAACTAATTATCAAACAATGATAAATTGGAATATATTCCAGTTTATTACTGAACAGTCTCTGGAATGATGGTTGATGGAAATAATTTTGATTTTAATCTGGCAACTACATTTGCCAATGATCCTCCATTGAACTGTATTGTCCTCCCTTTGAATACAATATTAATTGCATTTTTGTTTAGTTTTACTTTCTCATCTCCAAAATATTACTGACAGACAGCATTCCAATAATTTATTTTTGTATTCTAAGATAATAGTTTTGTCTTCACTCACAAGAGTGATAGAAAAAGAACAACACTACTATCATTCAGAACTGGACAAGCAAATAAAATTTAAACTCAGTCATGATGGTGGTATACAATAGTTCGTAATACTGTAATTCTAACATTTTTAACAAGTTTAAACCCCAATTTATTGTCTAATTTAATGTTTCATAATTTACAGTTAATTAATAAATATAACAAACTACTACATTATAAATGCCTTCAATGTTCATGCAATGGCCTCCTTTTTTTTGTACAAGAAAGTTGGCAATCCTTTATACAGCATGTAAAGTATTGCCAGATTACAATTATGATAGAAATAGCATTACATATCAAACATTTATAATTAAACTAACCAAGAATTGTCACTTCATGTTGATATTCAAAACATTAAAACATATTTTAATGTTTCCAAGTACTTTCATTGAAAGTAACATCAGGCAAAAGGAACATCAGAAGGCACTTAAGATAGATTACTTTAATTGAAAGTACTTGGAAATATAATAAAATATGTTGTAATATATTTTGCATATTAACATGAAAAGACATTCTATTTATTTATTTTTCTTTAAATAATTCAAAATTTTAAAATGTTTGAATAATTAAAGTGCATTTGTTTTAAGATATTATTCTCAGTCTCCAATTTATATATTTTAAACCATTACAGATAATGGTTTAAAATATATAAATTATTAGTAATTGTTAGGAAGATAATTCATATAATTAAAACAAAATTATAATATTTTATTAAATAAGATATGGTAGTCTCTTAAAGCTGGATATCTAATCATTATAACATTGAACAATGAGAAATATAAATGTACACTGACAGTGTAAATTTATATTTCTCATTGTTCAATTAAACATTGAACTGGATTTTAAAGGTATCTGTGGTGTTATGAGATAAGATACCTTGCTTGTCTGTAAACAATAAACAAAAACAAACTGTAGAAGATAAAATATAAAAACAATTACAAAAGCTTTAAGATTT